TTTCTGTCCTATTATACTGTCTTTATCTCAAGCCATAAGTTTTACCTTTTTTTTACTTTCCAATTCTCTCCCCCATCCCACTGGGAGCGAGGAGCAAGCGAGCGGCTGTGTGGTCATTTTAGCTGCCTGCCGGGTTAAACCACAACAAGTATGCTCACCAGCAATGACTTTCATTCACTGCTGATTTACATAGCTCGTCTGAAGTCTCCAAATCCATTTTCCAACTCTGAGGTGCATCTTCCCAAGCAAATCCAGCAGGCTTAATTCTCCATTGCCCTGCAGCTTGTGCAGTCAGGTTTGCCTGTGTAAAGTGGTGGCAAGATCTAGTGCCCTGGTTCATTAGGATTTTACAGACCTTGTGTACCACTTTTTTCACAAGGAAGGCACAAGAGTGATGCATGACTACACCAACCACAAAGCAGTGAAAGATTGGCCTGATATTTTATCAGCTACTGCACAAGGGTGCACAATATAATTCTCAATTTGCACCTGCAGATCTCAAATCAAACCTTACCCTAAGTTTCCAAAGGGCATTGTGGAGTCAAAAGTAAGGACTTATTTTAGCCACCAAGTCTCTCATGTTTAACATACTCTTCTTCTTACTCTCCCTCAGTAACTTACAGCCTGGAGTAGACAGGAGCAGACATGATCTATTACAAAGGGCTTCCAAACTTGAAGGATTAGCGTGTCGTTGAAAACAAATTTGAAAAGTGGCATTCAGTACGTACCAGCAAGTATAAACTTTCTTTGCTGTGTCGTGATTATTGCGGATGTGTCTACGCAGACTGTTGGAGGCATTAAATGAGCGTTCACACTGTCGACAGGGATATCTCTTCATAGACTAGCAGAAGAACAGAAATATCTTTTAATAACAGGGAATGGAAGGCACTGACTGGATTCTGACATTCCCATGCTCTTCACCTGGACCTTACCTCTCAGGTGCAAGAAGTCTCTCTTCCACTGACAAAGATCACTGAGATTTTGGGGTCCCACTTATAGTCAGCCCAACAGGTGGTTAATACCAGCACCGGTCTTATAAAAACCAGGACTAGTTAAAGCACATGCTTGATTTATTTTTTATTTTTAATAGGAATTGCATTAACTGCTTGTCCTGTGGGCTCATTTCACTACAGGACCCTCTGCAGAATTAATTCAGTGGAAGGTCCCTTCTGCCCCAGAAGAAGGCAGGACCCCAGTGTGAAGTGCAAGTCCACTTACCCTTCTCTCTCCTCATAATTAAGCACAGTACAAGGGCAAGATGTTAAAAAGCATCACATAGTCCTGCTTGTTATCCATGTATGATATCCACGTCCCACTACGCAACTGCCCCGTAACTAGCCTTCTCCGCCTCCAGTCCTTTGTACAACCTGCATGCGTTCCATTTAAAATCTTCTTAGACTTGTTTAATGAATACATATATGTATTGAACACAAATATTTGGCAAATTTCCTACTTCTACAGAATTAAAATGGAAAAATCCAGCATTCTCACCCTGCCCCCATCTTCTCTTGATACTTATCAAGCGGGACAATCCAGCACCCTCCAATCAAGGAATCAAAGACCATGATCCAGATTTCCACAGCCTCTGCTCATGGGACTCGAGAAGGGTACCTCAGTATATCAAACAAGAAGTCCTGATGCCAAAGTACTAAGAAATCTGGCTGCACACAACATCTTGCCTATGTTCTGCCAGCGAGCAAGGATTAGCTTGACAGAAATAGGTCAAGACAACACCAGGCTTGAGCTGGATGAAACCAACAAAATTGAGATTTACGGTTCTTATAACGATAGCTCTGCACACTGCACGAGTCTGTTACTCTTCCCCAGGTACATGTAGTGATATCTACCGAACAATACATCATGTGGAGGAACTGTATGTCCTTCTGTAACTTTAAGTCTACGTAGTTCAGATCAAGCTGTTGAATCAGTAACTGGAGAAGACACGACTTTCCATCCACTTACCCAGACAAGCCGAAGAGGAAGCCTGACATGAGATGCAGTGGGAGAAGGAAGAGCCAAGAGGATGCGGTACACAGGTTGTAGAGTGTACGATCAAGGACAGAAAGTGTGCTTACCATAGGCTACATCATTTTTTTTTGTTCTGGCCCTGAGCTTACTCCTCAGTGAGCTGGCAAACAGATTCTCAGTTTCTTTTTGCCCCAAATATTAATGATTATCAGACTCTTTTCCTAAAAATCTCTTGTTACCTCGTTGAAGTGTTTCATCTGAGTCCTTACCCTTCCATGGCTTCTCTTCATGTGGGACACATAGGTTTCCCGATCAGGGATCCACTGTGAACATTCCTTGCAAGTCCAACCAGTTCTTCTCAGTCTGGACTTGGATTCGGGATTGTGTACTTCCACCCTCATGTCCTTCCTCAGCAGAGGGGAGTGGGAAGTCCCATTGGCTACCGACAGCTCCTTTGGTGGGGTATGAACCTGGTTCCTTGATGCCTTCTCAGATTTCTGTCGAAAGTTTGAGAGCTCCTCAGGATTTTGGGGGACTCCATGAACACCCTGGATAACAATAATAATGGAACCACAGATAACGTTTATATGTAATTCATATTAAACACCTTTATTTATAAACAAATAACATTTATTATTTAAATAAATAATTTAAGCTCCCCATCCCCCAAAACAATATGTTGATGTCTTGCTCCTGCAGCTCTTCCCATTTCCCTTTGAAGCTGGCTGCAGTGCTTTCCCCGGCAAGAGATTTTCCCAAGAAACATGAAGCTTCTATTTATGTTTTCCTGCATGACAACAGCAGCTCCTTGGTGCTGCCTGTTTAACATCTTGGGAGTTCTGAGAACTCTGGTTAAAAAAGGGAAGATGTAATGGAAGAGAAATGTTAATTGTCATTATTTCAAGAGCCTAAGCTCTAAAAATACGGAGCTTTGGTCAGCTCTGAATTAAATGTTTGCTGTTATCTTGGGGGGCTCCAAAGCTGCTTCATCTTTGCTCAAGGGACGGGAAGAGATGAGCTCTTGGTTTCTCCAACCCTACTTTCTTCAATTCCACACCGTCTATTGCTATTTACGTTTTCACAGTTCAAAACTGTGCTCCTGACAAATAAAAGCAAGTGTAAAGCCAGAAACCAGCCTTATTAGGAATATGTCTCCAGGCCCTTTGGTTGTTCAACAGGCCAAAATCCAAAGTCCCCCAAAAAGTTATTTTAACAAAGAAAATTGAACATAAGGAAAATAATCCAGAAACGAAGAGCTGTGGGAAAGCAAAAGCAAGCAAAATAGCAACATACCAAAGAAACCTCAAGAAACTCCCCTAGGAACAACAACAGTTCATCCACACAAAAGGATAATTTAGAGGTTTAATTGTGCACCGTAATTAATAACGGGTAAAGTTTCAACACACAAAGGCCCCGGGCCTTTGGAAGTCTTTCTGTGGGTTAGACACCAAACAAACTTCAAAACACAAGGTCTCATCCGAGAAGCCCGTGTGCTTTGCACCTGATCCAGCTGACCTCCGCAGAAGCTCTTTCATGCCATAGCAGCTGCTCCACAGCACTGCCAGCTATTTGGGGTAACACGAACAGTTCACCTTTCTCCCCATCTGGAAATCTCAAGAGGGTTTTCTGAGCAAAGAGTACATTAGTACCCATCGCTCCATTTCTCCTGCTATTACACCACTGCGGGGAAAAAAAAAGGAGCGCAGAAAAATGAACTGACTTCTCTGCAGAATCAATAACAGGAACCAGACCTTCTAACTCCTACTCTTACACTTCAACATCTGAAAGCCAGGAAAGATGAGAAGGCACACTGTTTCCTTATTTTGCATGCAGGCACACATTAGACAGCACCTCCTATAAATTCGATATTGCATAAAGGAGCAGGATCTGATAGGAGATGAGATGGCTTAGTGCAATTACTACCCTGCCACAGACAAAGCCTTCTTCAATTACCATCTCAAAGACCTGTAGATGGCCAAATACAGCTAAAAGACAAAAGTTTTGTAGTGGAGACATCAGGGTGCACTGCACAAACTGCTGCAGGCAAGTCCCTGGGCGTGGGATTTGCAAATGAGCCACAAGGAGTTGTGTACCTCAACTCAAGCCCATCTTTTAGCATTGGGGTTGAATGCCTCTTTGAAGGCACCAGCCTTAATCTCAACTCTATTTTCCTAGCTATAATACAGGAAGATTAGCAATCATCGACTTCACAGGAAGGCTTCAAATTTTAATTCATTACTGCATGCAAAGCATTTCCAGATTTGCAAGTTAAAGGCATGGGGGAGAGAGCAAAGGAGTAGTTTTGAATGGTTTTTCCTTTTAGGAGTGAGCTAACGAATCTTCTTGCTTTTTAAGTATAAACAAAATAAAGTCACTGATTAAAAAAATTATGTCACTTTTTTCCCTAATCAAAGGGAAATAAGACTTTGCAAGCTCTTTCTTCAGAATGCCACCAAGAAATCTTCTGAGAGGGTTTCCACAGCAGTATTGTTAGACACTGTACATAGAAACATACTAAGACAACAGAAAAATGTGGCGCTTACACAGATCTGCAAGTCCTCACATGCATCCCCCTAGAAACCACCACGAAATCAACAATAACCGGCTTTTCATATGTATAAAAGCGATGAGTGATACTGAGATTATTGCAGTGCTTACAGAATCACAGAATCATTTAGGTTGGAAAAGACCTTTAAGATCATGAAGTCGGACCGTAAACTGCAATATGATCCGTTACTGAGGGAGTGCAGGTTCGAAGCACTCTCCAGATGACCATTTCCACCAAGTTCTGCTGTTGCACACAACTATCCATTTCAGACCATCTTCTGGAGCAGCCCCAGTGGTGCCAGTGAGGCTGGTACCTCCAGGGCAATCACTTCTGTCTCTGTCACTCCCCTCTTGCAATCTGGTGTGGTTCTGCAGGCAAGTGGAGCAGCCAGGGGAGCGGGAGTTAAATCCCATGCAGCCTTTCGTTGAGGCAGCTGCAAAGGGGCCAAAGCTCTCCAGGTCAGCACCCAAAAGAGGGAGATTCAGCTTTCATTATAATTTATGAGTAACACTGTGGGCAGAGAATACTTCTCCCTGTCTCCCAACCAAAGATAAAGCTCCCGCCCCTGTTTAATCACTTCCTTGGGTTTAATATAGAACAGTTAAAAATCAAAAAGATTTACCAGTAGAAAACAACCCTTTGTCATAAGGTTAAATTACATATAGATGAGAGTAACTGCCTGCGTTATTACCAACTAATACAAAATGCTCTACTGATGCTTCCAGAGAATACTGTAAATCATTGTAGTCTATTTTTCCACTAATATTCTTCAAGAACCTTCCACTTCTTCACCCAATTTCCTCACACAGTTGATGTAAACTCTCTGCGAACTCAAAAAGTAGGACCTCGTATTGGTAAGAGGTGGGAGTTACCTACCTTAACATGCTGCATTAACTGCTGTTTCTGCATATACACCAGCTGACACTGCGGGCACTTAAACACTCCCACTAACAACTTGTTGGTGTTCTGCTGGAAGTGCTCTTGGAGCAGCTTCTTCTTGTTAAAGACTGTCTCACAAGAGCATTTGTAGATCACCCTGGAACAATTGAAAAAAAAGTAAACTCAGTCTCTCTTCATTAGTTATCTTAAGAAAACAGTGGAAAAAGTTCTCTCAGCAACTTCAGAAAGGGATGGGCTTCTGAGGAGGGCTGTGCTCTCAATGTGTTGTCAACACACACCCACGTGGACAACTGAACCATTAACTCAACTGGAAGAACAACAAAATGCCTCAGGCACATACCACAGCTTTCTAAAAATAAGTTTACTTCTATGCATAGTGTGTGTGTGTGTGTGTGTGTGTGTGTGTGTGTGTGTGTTGGTAAGTGCAGACAGATGGGAGCAAACTCAAAGTATACTAGCTAGCTACACATTACTTTCAATCCCACCTTTCCATAGTTCCTCCCCTAAAGCACACATTTTCGGCACTAGCTCCAGGCTTGGAGGGGAAAGCTACAGAGTGGAAAAAAAAGGCTTCTCTCTAGTGATTTCTGGGGGCAATGCTGCATGGTGTAACTCTCCTCTTCCAGTGTCCGCAGCAGTTGCCCTGGAGCCACCTACCAAGAGGTGCCACTGTGGGTCCTGCTGGACAAAGAGGCGACAATTAAGTTCCTTTTACGGATGTTCAGCTCTTCCCTGCCAAAACTCCTCTCCTTCTACGGAGGAGATCGTGTTTGCACCAAGGAGAGCATGCTGTGACTAGGAACAGACCCCTGCTGGCAGACAAAATGGCAGATCTTCTCAGATGAAGACAGAAACCAAAAATAGAAAAAAAAATGGGAGGAAAAGGGGGAATCCTGGAGCTACCCATCAAAGAAGAAGAAGAGATAAACCCAGGATACTTACTGAGTAGTCTTGTGAGGCTCTGCTGGGTGCTGGCTGGTCATGTGAGCTGTGGTGCTGTCGGCCGACTTGAAGGCCATCGGGCAAAAAGAACACTTGTGGAAGACTTCGCAGTGTTTCTCGTGGATGTGCGCTTTCAGCATGGCAAGGGTCATGAAGACAACTCCGCAATGGATGCACCTGAGGGACACACAAAGAAAGAGCCGAGTTACAGCCACAGCGTTGCTTCCAACATACACACAAAGTGGCGCAGATGGAGGCAAGCACCAGGCTACAGTGGCTCCTCGTTCAGTCTCTTCAATAGAAACATGGAAGAGTCAAGGAGGAACACAATACAGGAATTCACAAGCCAGGCAGATCTCACAACTAGATGTTAGTGACAAGCAAACAAGACCTACAAAAGAAGCCTTCAGAGATTAAAACAACCCAGAAAGAATAAAGGAAGATGTGGTTCAGCAAAATGCCAGCTCTGTATCTGTAAAAGCCAATTCTGCCATAGGTACAAGTGAAGAACTGACATAAAAGTTATCGGTTGTGGTCAACATGGATGCACCAAGGGGAAATCATGCCTGGCCAATCAGATAGCCTTCTATGATGGCACGACCGGCTGGGTGGAGGAAGGGAGAGCAGTGGATGTTGTCTACCCTGACTTCAGCAAGGATTTTGACAGTGTCTCCCACAACATCCTCATAGGCAAACTT